CCTGGGTCGTCTCACTCACTGGCCAGCCTGCGCTCTGGGTCTCTTCAGGATCCCGCGGCCTGGGTCGTCTCACTCACTGGCCTGGCCTGCACTCTGGGTCTGTTCAGGATCCCGCAGCCCCGGTGGTCTCACTCACTGGCCGGGCCTGCGCTCTGGGTCTGTTCAGGATCCCGCGGCCTGGTCCTCTCCCTCACTCGGGGGGCCTGCGCTCTGGGTCTGTTCAGGATCCCGCGGCCTGGGTTGTCTCACTCACTCCCAGGCCTGTGCTCTGGCTTCAAACTCTTTACATTCCTCCTGCCTTAGCTTTCCAAGCACTGGCATTTCAGGTGTGCATCATCATGCCTAGCACAACTCACATTGTTTCTGATGAGAAATTTTTGTTATGCTTATCTTCCTTCCCATTTACATAATTCACCTTTTCCTGGGCTGCTTTTATGTTATGGTGTTCTTTAACTTAGTTCTCTTCATTTTTCTTGTGCTTAGGGATCATTTAACTCCATGGATCTCTCAATATATTTTTTTCCTGAGAAGTTTTCAGCAATTATATCTTCATATATTTTTGTTACCTTCAGGGACTCCAATTACACATGCAAGATATTTCCCCACAGCTCCTGGATATATTATTTAATTTTTAAGTTCTCCTTTTTCTGGTTTTTATTTTGGGTAGTTTCTATTGCTGTGCCTTTAAGGTCCTTAATCTTTTCATTTACAGTGTCTGACTTGTCATTAATCCCATCCAGTATACTTTTCATCTTCAGCAGTTTCATCAGACTCTTACCTTATTGCAGTCTAGATATTTTTGTATTCCCACACATGTTCTGAAATTTTGGTCTGAGACTGATCTTTTATTGCTTTGGCATGTGTTATATGGGTCAAAGGTCATGTTTACTGTAAAGCAAATTATTCCCCCACTACTTAGGCAAGACCCTTATGGATACTATACACAGTACCTCCATGAATTGCAATCTGGCTAGTTGAAAAAGGCACCATTTCTCCTATGTAAGAATCAGGTATTTGTCCCTCTAACTTTTTTGGCTGGTCATTTTTTTAGCTTCAAGGAGTTACACTAGCCATTATGCTGCTAAATACTTGAGACTGACAATCTTTAGATTTCTGAAGTTATCTGTGTGCATACTTCTCTCTTCCTCATTACTATGTCCTGAAAATTGTAGTTTAGTGTATCTCTGCATGCCATAGCTCCATTGCTTAAAATTAAGAAGTCTGCAAAAGTTTCCTTGGGATTCTCATCCTTGCACTATGCACTATATCCTAAAATCCTACAAATAGTAATCGGGAGCAATGTAGGACTTCTCCATGTTATTTCTTTCAGAAATCACTCTTTCATTATGATTTTTTTATATTAAAAACCACCATGTCATGAATACTCTGGTATTTTTTACTTGTTTCTGGTGGGAGGGTAATCTAGAACCTATACTCTGTGTTTTCCAGAAGCACAAGTCAACATAGATATTTTTGATGGAAGCAGTTATTATTTGCTAACTGATTACTTTCTGTCCTGATACATAGGCCTACTACGGTCCAGGGTACAAATTAAGGTTCCTTGGTCTCTCTGCTGCACCAAGGTGTGCAGTGGCAAAATTGATTACATTTGTTTCTTCTTACACTATTCTTTCCTTCACAGATGGATCTGGATTTGGGGACAGATGAAGTCAGTCATGGGTTAAATAGGGCTTACCTTCCTGAAATTTCACTTTGAGTCAGAGATTTGACATGAAAAGAATTAAAGGTAGATACATAAATAAATACAGATATGGGAAAGGTTATGTGTGTGTATGTGTGTGCATATATATACACATATGTTCATGTGTCTCTTTCCAAATTCTGTTGAACGAATGCTTAGAAGCAAAGACAACCATCACAACAACCATATCCCATGCCCACGGTCATGGATTCCATCATTTTCTAATAAAATAAACAAGCACTCCTTCAGAAGTGATTGATGCTAAGGCT